CCCTTCCCATATTTTCATGTGGCAGCCTGGCCATGAGATCAAAACACATAAATGTAGGTTATGTTTAATTTCTAAATCAGAGTGCTGTGGACAGATGTTTGAAACCTTAAGATGACTCAGATTCAGTTGTTGCATGGCTTTCTGCCTGCATAACCATAGTGTCGATCATGCCATTTCTGCTTTACTGATGTATTGCCGTGGTGATGCCATAAATAATTTTATCGTAACTTCTCTGTTAATGGCCCAAGCTGTGTCTTCTCTAATGACCATGCAACCAAACCACACTGAATGTGAAGGACCACTTCTATCTTTAATGTCACCTGATCTCAGTTGGATAACATGAGAGATGATCGTTATTTTCACCTTTTTCTGTATTTATTTCAGCTTTATTCGGCTAAAGGTGACAGACCCAAAATGATCAGTGTCTTTATTTGATGCAGTGTGCCCAGCTGTTTCTTCACTGTGTAGCTATCTTTGTCTGTATATGGAACACAGTCAGCTAGGGCTTTTACAGAAAATATTTCAGTGACCATTTTATTTGAATATGTGTTCCCTGCTGCAGATTTCCATGGTTATGTTGCAGTTTTTGCAGCTAACAGTAGCTGATGTATTCTTACTCAGTACATTTAGATTTTTAGAATCTGATTCAAAACTATTTTGAGTAAACAGAAAGGCTTGCATAAAAAGATTTTGTACATCTTGGAAGTTACTTTTATTTATCAAGATAAGAATGGTAAGAGAATGGGGATGGAATTTTTTTGTTTGCTTCCTTACATCAGGATAATAAAAAAAAATTCAGTTTGGTCTTTAGTTTTAACCTAATTAATCCACTCAGAATGCAAGCTGCTTAATGGAACAGGGACTTTGTTTCTTTTGTAAAGCAACCATGAAAATGCTAAACCCTAGCACATTTTAACTTAGCTTTTCTCTGGCTGCCTTCTTGTTTATAAATTAAATATTTTGACTCTCCTGTTTTGATACTCCTTATTGCCCCTGGTGTGACTTGTTCAAAGAACTCTCTGTCTGGGGTGTTGCAGCAGAGCAGATTCAGACAGTTCTGCTCGGAGAAGGAAGTGGAGAGTTTTGGTTCCCATTTTGCACTTCTGGAACAGTTTAGGGAAGGAAGCACCTTTACACCTTTTATTGTTCGTGGTTGCTGACATCATATCCTTCCCTGACCACTCTGTGCGTGTTTCCTGCCATTCTATCAAGATTCTTCTGTGTTGCACAGAAGGGATAGTGGGTGTGCATGTGTGTGTGTGTGTGTGCGTGTGCGTGCATATGTCTGTCTGTGAATGTATGAAAGAGAGACAGGAGCGGTCAAGTGATCAGCTGCATTTGTCCATTAGCCATTTTCCCTCTCAAGGATCAGATCTATCTTCTGTCAGCTATCACTGCCTCTGCCAAATCACATAGCGAACACAAGCCCGCCAAAAATGAAGTTCCTCTTTTTGTAAGCAGTCTGATTTTTTTTTTTTTTTTAATGTTTGGGTTTGCAAAAAGAAAAAATGCTGAAGACTGTAACACCATAGCATGTAACTATGTGTTTCTTTAAGTGCAATTTGTTTGCATGTAACCATGTCATTAAGTTGGAAGGTTTCTTTTATGTGGAGAGTTCCTTCAACAAAGCTTCTGGAATTATTTCAAGTTCCTTTTTAGATTCTTTTGGATAATGAAAGCCTGAAGTACTATTTGAGTTTTGTAGTACCTTCAACTTTTCTAGCTAGTGTGCTTTATTAGTGTTAGGGAAATACAATTTATCATTTAACAGGAACTTTAAATACTTAATATGTAATCCTTAGTGCTGCAAGAAATTTCAAAAAGTATTAAGAAAGGCGGTGAAGTCCTAAAGTAGCCACAGGGATTTGTTGGTCTCCAGGGTCCTTTACATTCTGTTTGACTCGGAAGTCACCAGCCTTTGAAGGTTACAGCCCGTAAATCAGATGTCTTGATTTACTCATCTGAATCTAATTGATTTGGAATCAGTCCAGCTATCTGCTATATATATGTACATGTGCAAATGTATATACTAATGAAATGAATAGAACTATAGGCAAACACATAGTAAGAACAGCACGTGAAGCAGTACATGTTGATATGTATGTATGTGTAAAAGTGTAAGATAGATATAGAGAATACCACAGCATTCCCAATTTGTTTCTAGTAGCAGTAAAAATAGCAGAAATTGTTTTTTAAAAAGGAAATAAATTTGCTAGAAAAGCTGAAAAGCTTTTATTTGAAATTAGGCCAGTAAGCAAAAAGCATACAGGAGAGAGTTTTTTTTTTCACCAATGCAAGAAAACTTAACCTGCTGCCTGTTGAAGCAAAATTATGTTTCCTTGCAAATTGTGTGTTGGATGCATATGACCTAACACATTCTGTCTTCTCATTCAGATTCTGTCAGATTGTATGGTAATATTTAATAACCGAATCATCCTTGCTCCCCTTCGACTTTATTTTCCTGCACCTCTGTTTTTCCTTTTAAAATAAAACTAGTGTAGTTAGTGGATTACTACAAGTAATGAAGAATAAAATTCTGCTCATCAAGTGTTGCATTAATTACTTTAAGATAATTTTGGTGTAGATCATAGGAATTTTAAGTGTTCTGACTATAAACTGTCTATAAAAGCTTTTGTTGTTTGAAGACTGGTCTTAAATGTGGAAGTGGTAAGTGTGTGGGAGGGACTCAACATATTGCTCCTCCACTAAGATTTTTGTCCTTCCTGGTAGATTTTCTCAGTATTCAGTGATTTTTCTGAACTCAGCATCAGCATCTTGATCTGCAGAGCAGCTCTCATCCTTGCTAACCTGTCACCACTGCTCTAATCTGTCCACCCTGACCTTCCACCCTGAAGTGCATAAGAGCTTAGGCAGGCATAGTGCTGTAAGCCGATAGTGCCACTGGCTTCAGCTGAATGAAAGGAAAGGAAATTGTTCCATATGCATTTGCTGTGGATTAGCGTATTGGCTTACTGTTACAGAGAAAGCCTGTTAGACTTCTTTGGGTCCTGCATGCGCATGGGAAACACCATTCTAAGTTGCTTTTTGTATTGGAGGTAAGACTACAGGAAAAACAGGAAAGAAACCCAGTCTGAGGAAATTTAAAACTGTTTCTAAAATTAGACTGGGTTTGTTTGTCAACAGTGGATATCAGATAAGACTGTCTCCTAGCTTTGTTTGGGGAAAAAAGTTTTATAAGAACGTTTAATCAACTTAATTTATTTCAAAGTTTTGGACATTTTTGTCGTAAATATGATCAAGCACCTTTGTGTCTTTTTAAGCAGTGAAAAGTTGAACTGTTTTCAAATAAGAAAAAAGCAACAAAAAAATTTTGTAGCCTTTACACTTTATTATATTGGCAACATGAATCGCTCCATGTTCCATGTTCTGCATTACAGTAATGATTTAGGCATATATAAATATGCCCAGCAAATAATATAAAAAGGCATTCATGTGCAGAAAGGTAATAAGTATTATATTTAAAAATTTGTTTTGCCCAGCAGATTAATTATATCATGGTGGCTAGTTAGAAAACGCAGACTGACTGCTTATTTGTTAACTTATTTTTTCCTTAGAATGATAAAACCCTTCAGCAGCTTAAAGTTTAATGTATGCAAAGAAAATCAAGAGAGAATTGAAGATCAGAATGAGTGAGGTCTAGCTTTTCTACCTCAGTAGCTTTGAATCAGAGCCAAATAATGGATTAAATGGCCAGGACATCGGCTTAGTGTTACGTAACATATTGTGAGAATTTATCAGGTTGGCTGCGAGACTGCAAGCTTAAAATAAATAAGGAAACACCAACTTCTGTTTTAAAATTACTAAATTTTTATTTCCAAGGCAACATTTTTAATACACTATGGTTCTAACATAAAAGCTTTAAAACATCATTTTAAATTAATCTTGTTCAGATTTTTTTTCTCTTCTGTATTTAAAAGAAATCTGTGCTGTTGTGGTCAAAATATGTAAATATAAAAATATGGTAAATGAAGGTTGAAAAGGGAAAAAAATTGCATCTTTTACTTTAGTACTAAACTGAATATCGTTCCTGTATTTTCTTATATTTCTACCAACTCTTTTATTGCTAAAAATACTTTGACTATGATAAAAATTAATTTTTTGATTTATGACATTTTGTGAAATATGGAATGTGTACTCTGTCGTGTATTTTTGTATATTGCGCCTGTCCTTAGTTTTGCAATAGAAGTAGTGTTGTAAAGTTCAGGAAACTAGTATCAGTGTATTACGAAAACTGTGAAAATGTTTTTTAAAACATTCTTAAATTATGATCTATCCCTATTATTCTGTGCTATATAGTTTGTCTTTTGGTGCAAGAATTTTTATAAGGAAAGAGGTATGTGTTTGCTAGTTACAAATAATTTGTCAGAACGTTTTAGAATTTACATTGAAATGAAATGAGGGAAAATGCACTACTGTTTTCTTCAAGTATCTTGAGTAATACTTGAACTAATCTATATTCTTAAAGAATAAGGTTAACATTTTTTGATTTGAAGTAGCTGACATCTCTCATATATCAAGTAACACTTTAATAAAGGTCCATCCTATTTGCATAATGAGGGACATTATCACCTCTGCTGTCAAAACACAAGATTGTTTTCCCTTCAGAAATGAATTAGCTGGCCTACTTAGCATACATAGGTACAGAAAGGTTCATTAACTCTCTGATTTAGGTGATTTTTCATATTAGAGCAGTGAGTGATATTTAAAACTAGAGACAGCAAATTCCGTTAAAGTTTTGGCAATGTGTATTTCAGTCCTTTTCTTAATTTCTTGATATATTGGAGGATTTGTTCATAAAAAGAAGCCTTTGAATTAAATTATTATTTCTCTATGCATTACTTATTTTATAGATGCAGTAAATTTTTATTATAATTTACTTGTACACTAAATTATAATCAGGATCCTTGATCAGCTCCATATAATAACTTTCATCTAGTTATCAATTTTGTAATAACATTTGATTTCCTTTCTGTGTTTAGCAGGAACGGATGCAGGGGACTGTGAACTGAGTAGTGCAAGTGCTGAAGAAGGAGGTTTGTTTTGAGGAAACGGGAAAGAGGAAGAAAAGAGAAGGGAAAAATACGTAATTTTAAGGAAGAGGGAGAGAAAAAAAAACGGGGACTATGGGGAGAAAAAAGATTCAGATTACAAGGATTATGGATGAACGTAACAGACAGGTGAGTAGCAAAAATACTGTATTTGAACATCATATTGTATTTCTAAGGTGACATTCTCATAAGTGATTAAAAAGGTGATGACTGTGTACATATGCATATACCTACACATACGCATACATATACACAATGTATGGATGACTATCAAAGAAAAAGTACTTTTGGAAACAACCAGAAACCTCACACACAGTTTTTTCAAGTTTAGTAACACAAGTAGGTAGAAATTTATTATTTGAGGCCTTGATTCTACAAAGACTGATGTGTATGCTCTACTGTGGGCCCCCTCTGTACTCACTTTGACTTCAGTGTGTAACGTACACAGTTAAGCGCATCTGCAAGTTGTTACATGATACAGGCTTCTAGTACTGTATTTTGTGAACTCTTACAATATGAGCTTATTTGCAGGATGACTTGCATTTAAATTCATAGATCCAAATTATTTATGTTTCTACAAGTTTGCAGTGGTTTTATTTTTACTTCATATAAAAATGACACTACTTCATAAAAAAATCTCATCTGTTCCTGTCTGAACATGATTTTTAAAAAGAATTTGAGCAACCTAACACATTCTAAAACCGACATACAATAATATCGGCATGTTGTAGTCATGAAACAGAGTCTCCGTTACTGATGCTATGGCTAAATAGGTCCAGCAGAACAGGTTAATTATTACCACTACTTTAGATAAAATGGCTGAGTAACTGTCACATATTATCAACACTACCTCTGCTAGTTAAAATATGGTCATAACTTAAAGAAACTGCTTTCCTGTTTTCAGAAAAATAAAATTCAACAATTGGCGTCTTAAAATAAAATCAGTGAAAAGCTGCTGCTGTTTACCTTTGATGGATAGATGTTTTGTTGAAACTGGAGGTTCACAAGTGTGAGAAACTCTCCATAAAGTTACTTAACACTATGATTAGTGTTCTTCATACATGTGGCTGCAGTGTAGGAGTAATCTTCAGTAGCTGTTTCTTAAGAACTTGATACTGAGGTACTATTAATGTATTTGTTCTATTCATTTAATCTATAAATTTCTTCATATATTCAGGTTGGGTTTTAAGAAGCTATTATGTTGTTAGTCTTCAAGGATTTTATACAGGCATAAAGAACTCAACCTGGGCATAACAACAAATGATAATCTTTAAATACAGAATTTTTAAATTCTGTAGTGTCTGTAGTTGCTTATGTTCTCCATGGCAGAAAATCATGTTTAAAAGCAAAATTATATTTATGATGGATACATGTTGTGTTTTTCCTAAAGGTTGCCTATTGCTGTGGGCCAAGCCAAAAAGCAGTATCAATATAAAACCACCACCATATTTACTTGAATTGCTTTATAGCTTGGACTTGAAATTGGATTTGAAATGTTGAACTGAATGTATCATTAAACATTAGGACACCAGTTGTTTGGAACTTTCCCATACTACCATGGTTTCTTTTTGAAGTGAACCTGAATTATTTTGTAAATTATACTACAAAATTTTGCCATTAGTAACATTAGTTTATACAATAGCTTCAGTGTCAACTTGCTTACTCAAATACAAGATTTACAGAGAACTTAATCCCCAGTTTTGTCAACGAGATATCTTTCAGGAGGCTAAATTTACTTCAAAAAATGCAGACAGCTAGTCTTTCAAGTCATTCACAGCAGAGTTTCAAGACTTCCAACACCAGCTTTCAGAACTAATAATTATGAATAAAACCGTAACAGTGGCATATTAACAACTGTAGTGTTAGTGCAGAAAGTGTTTATCTTGCGAGCATTTGATAATATCCATCATGTTGATTAGTCACTGTGAGGCTGAAGGTATAGATTTACTTCACCCTCCACATTGTATAATTGGCTTGATTCTGGTTCTCATTTCTACTGATATATTGAAATATAATTTAGAAAGTGTTTCTACTGGTTTTATCCTCTTTGCACTTAGTGCCCTGATTTAAAGCTCAGTGAAGCCAATGAAAAGATTTCTTTCGATTAATTTGGACTGTGGGATCAGGCTTTTTAGTTGTAGCAATATATATGTAATTAAATACAACTAGGTTTTCAGTAATAGCTGATTGATCTTTTAACCATTTGTATGAGATTTCTTTCACAAGCCTTACTGTTCCTTAAAATGCAATGTATTCCATGAGCTATTGCTGGTTCGGTGAAGCTGCATCAGTTTATTTGTTTTCTAACTTACACAATTCCAGTAATCTTAAAATAGTAACTGGTTTATATTCATATTTTTTTTTGTTTGATTGTATAAATATATTTCAATGCATAGAAGAGATTAAAAGGTTGCACCAGGGAAAAAAGAGTTAGAAGTTTTTGATTAATGAAATTGAGATACCAGCTGAAGCATGGTTCCACAAAGCTTATTTGTAGCACCATTTACTGTGATATGGATGGAGACTGTTTTCTTTCTTACTACCTCACCGAAAGATGCTTGCAAGAACAGCAGCAAATCTGTTGACTTGAAACTGCCTTATTGTTGCTGATGTTCAAACTCTGTGTGGTTTCACAATACAAGGCATGTTAGACGGGAATATGATATATACATGGATAGTGCATCCTCAGCTGTTTTCAAGCACGTAAGTTCTCTGCAGGACAGCACGCACAGGTAAAAATAGGTGAAACGTATCGAATGAGGGGATATAGCAATAGTTTAATTCTTCTGCCCTCTCCTAGTGCAAGGGTGAATCTGTTTGGATAACAGTTTTTGCAAAAGGGTTTAAGTTGTTACAAGACCTGTGGAAGGTGATCTCTGTCCTGGCTTTTCCACTCATTTGCCCAGCATCCTGACTAGCTATTTACATTAACAATTCAATGGGGCACATGTTATATCAGTATAACAGCTGTTTTCTTCTAAACTACTGTCTGCTATTGTAGGAGACTCCCCTACTGTTCAAAGTGAGTGGATTGGGAAGAGGATTTCTGCTGAGCAAGTCTAGTTAGTTGGATTTGTGTACTTGAGTGATCATACTGGTAATAAATATACGTTGAAACTGTCCAGAGTGAGATGTCTGGCTGCAAATCTCATAGAAATGTGCGATATGGGGATATGATCCGCACTTTTCGAAAAACTGTTTGAAACTTCGACATTTTGGGGTAAGCTGAAGGAAAAGTACTGCAACCTAGACATCAGAAGCCCAGTCCTTTTACCCTGGACTGCTTAAGAGCTCTGTGATGGGCTTCAGTGAGTGCAGACTGCAGGCTTTTAACTAGGAGGAGACATTAATTTAATGTTGTTTCATGTGGGCTGCCAGTTGGCTGTATTTTTCTGGCCCTAATAGTTACCGCATGGTGATGAAGGTGGCAAGGACGTTTGAATCTTCTGTGAGTGATCACAAATTCTCTTCAGTTGTGAAAGTTTCAGAAAAACCCATCTGAAAAATTCCCTTTCACTCTGCTTTTAGCCACAGGGAGAAGGAGTATGAATAACTGCCAGGGCTATAGTAAATGTGTATTTATTTTTGTAGTTTAGTTACCATCATTATATTAAATGGAAATTAAAAGTCTCAAGAGAATCCTGCCAAGGTGACCACAGACTTCCTTTTTTTATTGCGACACTGGATAATATAGTCTTCATAAATGTGGAATGAATCTCTGATAGTGTTGCTCAGGCTTATGAGATCGTGGTAGCCTTGTCTACAGCCCATTTGAGTAGACTGCATACATGATAATAGCTGCACCACCAATAGAACAGATACCCAAAATATTAGCACTGACATCTGATGTTGGAAACTCCTGACTGCTGCAAGTTCTTTGTGCAGAAATTTCAGTTGGGCAGATTGGAGAAGGCTGCTGTGAAGGATTCTGGGTTGTTTAAAAAAAAAAAAAAGAAAAGAAGGGGGGCATGTGCAAAAACATAGGTGAACCTTATTTTTGTATGTTTCTTTAATTGAAAGAAATAATTCAGCTAGCTCTGTTACGGTCAACACATGAAGGAAAAATTGCATTCATCTTCCTCAGAAAAGTCCTTGTATTTTTTCTATTTGTTCTTCGTCAGTTTGAAGTATTTCGTTAGTTTTAATGAGGGCCTTTTGTGGTCTGCTGTAGACTGGCATCATCTGAAACTCTCTTTGCAACAGTCCAGGCAGGGCTGCCCAGGCCTGAAATAAATAGGTGTAATGACGTAAATGATACTGTATTACTGTTATACAAGGTCACTTACAAAATATCTCATTAAATCTATGGTCTGTGAGCTAAATCCAGAGGTACATTGACCCAGGAAAGAGGGCATTTTGACCCAGTGACATTCTGGTATCGGGTCTGGAACACCCTCTTGCTTTTAATCCACTGTTTTTTCTAGTTAGTATTAAGAAATACCGGGTCTTATACAGCGATCCACCATTTTTTATTCCCTCTGATCATCTTGCTCATTAGTTCTGCATTTTTTTTTCCTGCTTGTGGAGTATGCTGCTGTCGGGTTCACAGTTAAAACTGAGTTGAGCTTAGCTAATGATTCTGCATACTGTTTAAAACATCTCTTTCAATTTGTAATGAGCTGCTGGGATCTTAAGTGTTATTTAATACCATGGGAAGTGTACACTTCAATATTAAGGTGCTTAAATAGTAAAACACCCTTTTTAAAGTATCATGTCTGTGTAATTCTGTGGGATATGACAGTAACAAACACTCACTATTTAACTTTTTCTTGCATAGATTTTTTTATCATTCTTTGATTCCAGCAAATCTGTAAAGCTATAAACCAAGACTTACTGCACTTATCAGCTCAATAGAGAACAAATTAAAGCAGATAAGTAAAGTGAGGTTATGGGGCAGGGGAAGAATATCCTGGAGGGAAATGACCATTTGCAGGAAGACCTAGATTTGTTCTACTGACTTCGATACCTAATGCTGCTAGTTTCAAAACTAATTTCAGCCTCGTGTATCTATTTTTAGCTATGTTTCAGCTCTATTTAAAAGGAAAGAGTAAGAGACTATCAGCTGAATCAGAAACTCCGCTGTAGAAAGAGAGAAGAGCCTTGCATGTTATTGCTAACGTGAGCACAAG